TCAGATAAAATATATTGATGAAGAGCCGACGCTCCTGAAGCAAATATTGCATCTCCGGGATTTCACTTTCCCATTAACGTGTGTCGAGGTAAAGAAAGCAGGTCTAGCGCTTGTTTGAGCAAATCATTCAACAATCGTTTAGTCGGAAACGTCTTCTTGACGACGAGTCATTCCACAAAACACCATTTGTTGTACTTGCGGATCGTAATGCTCAACCAAATCTGTGAGTCATGAGCTGTCCAATCTTGCTCGGGCATCATCCTACGTGTAGACGAATGAAATGCCTCAATGCGTGTAAATTTGGGCGTAAGTTTGAACTTCACGAAGGTGAAGAACACGGTTTGGCTCACAGAAGCGGGAGGGGTTTAGATTGCATCTTGTCTAAACTCAGTGGCGAGACGGGTAGCCGGGATCCACATGTGTACAGACGTTTGTGACTACTGGTGTAGGGACAACAACAAGCGCAGCAATTCGGCGGTATCGATTTGTACAACTATCGTCAGAAAAAAGGTTGCGTCGTCTGGCACCCAGAGTGGCGCATGCTGTCTAGCAGCTAGGCGGCGATATCTTGTTTGCTCGGATTGCGGAACCGTACGTCAAACCGTACCAGACGTGGCTGCGTCGCCAAGCCTTAAAAAACTACTACTGTAAACATAACGGCCCGGCATTTTATATCAAGTCAAGGGGTGATACAGCCAGTCAGACCGACTATGGTGGGAGTAGAAACTATCGCAATCCTTTTCAAAGTGTCAAACAGCAAACGCAGGACCAATGCATCTAGTGAGAAGCAAGCCCCACAATACTTAATTCTCACCAAGACAAACGCCTAGCCAAATTCCGACTTCACTGAATTATTGCACATAAAATACAAGCTTGATCTTTGAGGCCTTATCCGCTCAATGTTACGTCGATTTGAACTAAAAGCTAAGAAAAAGTGTAGTTAGATGTATGACGTATTGCCATTGCAATCCTTAGCTACAAGCTCGTGATCTGATGTATCTTTTCATGCAATGAAATGTTTTATGCATAGAGTAGCTTCTAAATAAATATATTCTAACCTATTTTTAATCGTATGAACTTTGATGTAATGAAGCCTTGTCGTACATCATTTTATTGCTTTAATGTGAACACGATTGGCGTACTTCCTCGAGCGTATAAGTTTTGTTACATAAATTGTTTTCTTGCAGTATGTTAGTTGCTTACAAATTAAATACAGTTAAAATCAATAAATTTAGCGTGTGGACTTTGACGTTATGAAACCTTGTGGCATAACATTTGGTTATTTTAAACTGAATAGACCTGGGGTAGTTACACGAGTGTATTAATTTTGATACAATAAATACTTAACTGCAATGTGGAATTGCTTTGTAAATACAATCGGAATTATTTTCAAGTATATGAACTTCGAGGTGGCAAAACCTTGTGGCGTAGCATTTTATTGTTTCAAAGTAAACACAATCGGAGTAATAACCCGATCGTAATAATCTTGATACAATAGATTGTTTCATTGCAATGTGTAGTTACTGACTAAGTAAGTCCAATTGGAATTATTAACTCGAGCGTGTAAATTTTCTTTTCAATAAAGCGTTGTCATGCAATATTGAGTTACTGGTAAGTGAGTATAGCTGGGGTAGTTGCCTAGTTGTACAAAGTTTGAGGTGATGAAATATTGAAAAGTAGTGAGTGTTGTGAAGTAAGTGAGTACGATTGAATCAAAAAAGTGTATAAAATTATATGCAATGTAAACATAGTGTTGCAGTGTGGAGTTGCTGACAGGGTTTTTACAGCTGATTTTTGAAGCATATAAACTTTTATGCAATAACATAACACTTTTGCTATTGTCAAGTCCTTAATTTTGACCCCCGTGACGACAAGAATAGAGTAAGGAGGTCAACATAGATTCTGAGGACCGCTGAAGTAACCAGTACAAATGTGAATGGATCCCCCTTATACCCATTGATATTAGCTTCCAAGGAATAAAATTTGCCCTGAAGCGTTTCTGATATCGAGCTGGGCTCTCCGACGCTAAGATTTTGCGCTATAGCGCAAAAACGATCGAGCTGCAACCATTTAAGGCGATTTTTGGCATCCAATCCTCAAAAGATTCAGATGCAGCCCAGCGTAGACCGCCACAAGCTCTTCAAATAGACCTTCATGCCCAACCCTCAGAACCAATCTTTTTCCCGAAGTTACAGAACTATGTTGCCGACTTCCCTTATCTACATTCTTCTATCAACTAGAGGCTACTCACCTTG